TTCTTACCAACTAATGTGTAATAAAGTGACGCTCAAATATCTAAGTTGGCAAAAACCACACTAGGGTATAAATTGAAAGCATTTCAAATTTTAACATTACCTTCTCTGACAAGAATGTTCCCAGCAAGGAACCTCCCAAAACAGCAATCTGTGAAGAAGTTTTGAATTATTAAAAGCTCATTTTTCTTCATGGAGAAGATAACAAACAAAAAAAAAGAAAAAAAAGAAACAATTTGAATCTGCATAATTATGTGCACTATTATGAAAGACCTTGGCTTCGATATATTTGGCAGAAGCATTGTCATTCCACCAAAAATTTAAACCACAAACTCACAAACTCTGCGAGGTGTTAGGTTTTTTGATAAATTAGAAAGATTTAATGTTTGTGGTAATAATTAAAGCTGAATAAATATTACCAGAGTTGCAACACCATGACCAACAAGTGCTCCCGCGATGACTCCAAGGGGTGAAGAAGCAGCTGCTAAAGCTGCATAAGATCAGCGAAATTGAGTCAGTGCTCAGCTCAGATGACCCTGAGACACTGGGCTGTTCTAAAGGAATGTGAAATAAACCGTGTAGGAGATCAGCCATATAGAATTCACAATATTCAAACTAATATAATCCTGATCCAGCTATCTTGAGGTGGAATATCTAAATTCTAAGCAGCCACTCTGTTCTATTTTGTTTAAGCAAGCAAAGACAAAATATGACTAAGAAAAGCCCCATGCACAAAGTCACACGCACAGATCAAGAAACTAACCATTTAATTGTCTATCCACGAGAAAAACAAAATAAAATAGAAAAACCCTCTCCTTTGATCTTTGCTCTATTTGGATATGTTCTGCTAATGTAATCCATTTTCTATTACTCGCATATGATGAGTGTTATGTTACAATGTTTTCATACTAAGTAACTCAACATTTTCCCAATCTTATTTTTCTGAGTTTGAATGATTTCGATGCAGAGAGCGAAATTCTGTCCTAATCATTTTTTCACAGTGACAAAGATAATTAGATCAGAAGTCATTGTTTGGTTATCAAGTATGAGAACTGCAATTCACAATATATAACACTCTCAAGGAAAGTATTACTTCTAAGTTTTCTAGCACTTGCAAGGAGAGTATTACTTTCTAACACAATACTGAAGTTTCTGATTAACTGCTAAAATAACAATTCAGGCAGAGAATCCTTTCCAGCTATACTGGTAAATTAAAATTTTATTTTGACACTGACCTATTGTGGAGAAAAATGATTTGTCACCCCATTCAGCAACAAAGACTAAAATGAAAGTGCTTATGACAGTGTTAGCAGCAGATAAAATCCCAGCACCATTTCCTGAAAATTCTGAAACTGCTAGCTCTGCCTGTGAATTCAGTCAACTCACGAGATGAAAACTAAGATGGCAGAACATGTATCAGAATTTGAATTCGAAGGCAGTTACATCTGAACAAAATAAAATTGAAAATCCACCTCCTTTTGTTCATCTTCTGCTCTTTGATTGTCATCTGAAGTGGCATCAAGCAATGTTGAAACTCCAAAATACACCTAAGATTTGTGTAGATCAGCTTACTTAACTCTTGAATGCATTTAAGAAAAGATCTATATTTTCTTTCTCGGCATTGTATGTAGCCTAATTATATTCCTCTTACTTGAGCACAGTGGGTAATTGTTAAAAAATGATTTTGTGCCACCTAGTCTAGGCTCAAACATTTGACCAGAAAGAGAAATTACCAAAAGGCAGACAGCAGCAATATCATCTACTGGCAAATCAGTCTCACCAAACCTGTGTTTCATCATAACATGTTAAATTGATACTGAACAATTGACAGCATCATATTTGAAGTATGGCTCAGATAAGAAAGATGGAAACTATATTTAGTAAATAGGTCCTTCAGGGTTCTTCATGGAGCCATACAAGGTTCTCCAAGAACATCATCTGTGGCTTAAAATATAGATGAGGTACTTTCATTTAGAACAATCAATTGACAGAACTCATGTAAGGAGTAACTGCCAGAAAATGATAAGTTTTTATGAGAAAAAAAAAAGGCAATTTTCCATGTAGTTAAAGAAGAATAGTATTACCAGTATAATAATTTTTACAGCAGGGACTATGAATTTATTTAAATGCTTGAACACTATTTAGTAGGTAGTACATAGCCCATCTAAACCAAAAAAATATTTTTTTTTTTTTATTTATTGTAATCTCTGCAGCATTCATGCACCCGATATCCAAAATCTGGAAATAATGCCAGAAAAATACCTGAATGGCAGGATTTCATCAACATAGTGAAAAGTTCGTCCAAGGACAACAGATACAATCGTCATTGCCCTGAAATTGACATATAAAGAACTTCTATGAATTCGTAATTTTGTCAAAGGATTTGCATCATTTTTCAATAGAGCCTTGACTGAGAGTTGCTTGGTAGAAATGCACAATCTATTTCCTTTGGTAATAGAAATCACTTTATGAGGACTCGCCCAATACTTGAGCAACATAGGATTCATATCCCCTTCATTTATTACGGCTCAATTATGATTATGATTTTCTTTTCGGAAAAAATGATGTCCCTATTCACACTCACCTTGTTTCGTACAAGCAGGGCTGTTATGGATCACTACCCCATTTTGGTTACAGGAAAATCACTAATTTTCATATAACAGGTTGCTGATCTTATCATTCTCAAGCTAGAGGGGATACTTGCATTTAGTTGTCTATCCTGTTTAATTATCCATGCTATCTTATTAGTAAGTGTTATAGACCTATTAAGGTATCTTCAATAGAAAGGATGGATATGCAGAGACATCTAAATCACCATCATGAGCAGAATAACATACGCAAGGGCACCAAAAGTCCCTGTGAAAACAATTGCCGCAGAATTCCTAGCTGCTAAAAGTGCCTGCAAAAGTCAAGAAGCACCATCAGTTCACTTTTTCAATGTACTTTCTTCAATTAGAACATAGAAAGACCTGCCTAAAACATGCTCATGTTAAACGCTAATGTAAAAGACATAAGACTAAGAGAAGAATTATTGGCCACAAATTCCTTCAAAAGATTTGTTCTTATCTTCGTGAACATACATAGGTGAACCAAAAATCTCATTTAAGGATAAAGACTGAATTGTGAAACATTGAGATTTTCATGATTATTCTTTGCCAATCGAAAATGATCATGATACGTCTAAAAAGTTAATTGGTCATCAGAAAGTACCTCAGTTGGATGATCACATACCAACTGAAGAAAAAGCATTTCAGTTACAGACACGAACTTATACATGCAGTTGTTATATGTTCAGTTGCTGATATGCATAACTAGAAAGACCATCTCTTACCGCGATGAAAAAGGTCTTGTCTCCCAGTTCAGAGAAAAAAATCAGCAAGAATGCCTGAAAATTGCAGTTGCATTCAAAATTTGAGTGTTTGGATGCACATATGACCAAAGAAAAAATATGAACTCTCGTTAACGAAGCCAACGAGTTTTTTAAACATAAGTTAACAAACATGTTCATCTAGCCATTTCCCTCCTCCACTTTATCCACACACCAAAGGAAAGTTCCCAAATCTTATAAAAGGAATTAAGAGAGAAAATCATAGAGCATCAAGGAAAAAGTAGAAAAAAGAAAAAGGTCATGAGTAAATGTTTGGGGAAAAATATAGGGAAGAGAATAACAGAAGCAAGTCCATCAGAGCAAGCCAGTGAATTGAAATATATAGAAATTTTAAATGTTTTCACCTAAGCGTCCAATTAAAATGTAAAACCTAAATAAGATATCCACCAAACACGATTTCCCTTTGCATGCAAACATAAAAAACTTCCAGGTTCAGAAGTAACAGGGAGATTCTCCTAACTGAGGCAAAACCTGTGCTAATGTCACCAAAGTCTCCAAAATAAGGAATTGATTGCAATCCACTTGCAATGTCTGAAGCCGCAATTGCCGGTTCGGATTGCTGAATCACAAGGAACCCAAAGAGAGCCATAAATTTCAGCAAGCTATGAAGTGAGAAATCAGACAGTGTACCATCCATTAAAATGTCACTTGGGTTACTCTTCGAGGGTGATTTAGCTGATGAACTACCATAGTTGACAATCTTCCTTGATTCACTAGTGGTACTACAAGTCTTGAAATTAAGGCACCGAAGTTCCTGTGTCAAAACACGGTATCATGTTGCACTGAATAACAAGAAGGGAAAACTATAAAAGAGTTCAAAACAAATCTTATATACAAAATACAATGTTGAGAAAGTGTGTGAAAAGATATTATTACTAATACAATTGTTTGCATTCTAAAATTATCCTCCTTAGCCAGGCCTTTTGCTAGGTGCAGAACAAAAACCACCAGGATTCATGTATGTAATGACAAAGGCATGAAGAGTATTAGGAAACAGCCTTTGTAAGATAATGGAAATCCAAAGAATAGCCAAAAATTAAAGGAAAAGTAAAAAAGGAATGAGGGTATACAAGAGCATCTATAGTTGGTGAGACAAGGCACTTGTTTTCACTCCATTGCTTGGTATTTCTGCACAAGAAAATTTGCTAATTAATCTATAATTCAAAAGCTACCTTAAACTATTTTGTGCGGGAAACCAGGCTTATGTTCTATCAGCATTTTGAAGACAATACAATTCTAATATAACTAAACCGAAGTCCAGAATGACAGAAGCAGAAAACTTGCCTTTATCACCACAAAGAAAATGAGAGATACACAAGGTTCAAATTGAAAGTGAAAACGTAAAAGGATTAAAAAATAAAAATAAAGAACAAGAAATAGAAATTACCTTGAGAGAAAAAGAGTTGGATAGCCAAAGGAAAGCCTTGAAGAGTGGATGTTGGAGGGAGAAAAACTTAAGCTGGTGGAAGAAAACAAATGGGAAACACTATTAGCTCTGGGAGATGTTGGAGAAGGAAGCAGCGAATGTGAGAGCGTTAAGCTTGGCATCCTCAGTTGAATCTGTGTGGACCTCTGATTCTGTTTATCTGTTTGTTCTGGAGTAGATAGAAGTTACAGAGACCAATACCTATGAGTGGTTTTATCCATTTTGGAAGATGAATCAGCAGGCCAACGAGGAGGTACATTTGCTGGATCATTTTTGAAAAATATAAATTGGGCCTCCAAATTTCCATCCATCTTTTTAAAAAGAAAAATCTTCTGTTGTTGATATTTATATATGTGGTTGTAAATTTTCAACTTCTCCCCATTGTTCTTTAACCAGCTTCTCCCCATTTTTATATCTGTCTGCAGAGGCTCATTTTTCTTTAATCTACTAATAAGGATGGGACTTAATTAGAAAATAATTCTTTTTAAATAATAATAATTCAATTAAGAGATTATTAATTAAAATATCAAGTGATCTGACAAAGGTTACAAGAATTGAAATGCTACTTAATTACAGAGTTATTTTATTCATGAATGTGTGAATGGTAGAAATCTACTGTAATTTCTGTTTTGAGTTTAAAGTGATACTAAAATAACTGTTAATTAAAAATATTTTTGTATAATAAAATATTATCTAGTATTTAGTAAAAATAATTGTATAAAATGATATTGTTTTAAAAAAGCAGAAATTGAAAAGCTAGAAATTGAAATTTTTGTGCTTAAAATTATCAAAAGCATTTTTAGCTTTAACTTTTGCCAAAAATATTTTTTATTTGGTCGTAAAAATTCTTTTAGAATGTAATAAACTTAAAAGCAAAAGTTACCCTAAACTAGACCTAAGAGTTGAAATTTTGAGAGAATTTCTTGGCTTTTCCATTCTTAAGGCTTGTCTTAATCAAGTAATAGCCAAAAGTGTCAAGAAAAATAAGAAAATTTTTGTTGTGTTATTGAACAAAATACTTTGTGTTCAATGTTAAGTAGATTTTTTATAAATTAATTACTACTAATTATTGGTTATTTTAGAAATATACTATTTGAAATTTTAGAAGGGGAACCAAAATTCTAAATTCATTATTTTTATAATATCTACTTTTTCTATGAACATTTTGAGATTGTATTAGTGATAGCTAACATGTCTTTTTTTTTTTTTTTTCATAAACCAAAATCTTATAAGCTATGAAGATTTTTCTAAAATAGTCGTAGTAATATTCTTTTTTGTAGAAAAATAATTTTAAAGTCTATATTTGATTTTATAATCTATTAAGAAATTTATGTTTAAAAGATAATATCACTTTTTTAAATTTTATTTTAACAATTTTGAGTATGATAAGCGACATACATTAAATATTAAATTCTCTCAATATATGATTGGTTCAAACAATATAAAAGATCAAAATAAAAACAATCTTGGTGATTTTATTTAAGAGTTTCATGTTATAATAAGCATAAAATATCAACATTTATCTTGTATTACACAAAAAATGTCCAAATTCTTCCTAAACTATATATATAAATTTTAAATTTTTATTATTTCTTTAAAAAATAGTTAAAGTTCTCAATCTCCATCACATCCGGCTAACCTAAAAAATATTAAGATAGCAAGTGACATTCCAAGTGAACTATTACTTCGTTTAAATATGCCAACGTGAATGCCATGTCAGCAGAATTTTTCCCTTATTCCTTTTACTCACTCTTGTCTTGTAATACCCAAATCCGAAATTTGGTACGAGATTAATTTTAGCATTTTAAATATATAAAAAAATTATTTTTAAATTAATTTATTTTAATTTTTATTGAATTTATGGAAAAAATTGGTTATGGATGAAATTGAAAATAATTTTAGAAAAAAATGTAAAAATTTGAGTTCAGATAATATTTTTGAAAGAAAAATAAAAAATTGAGAGGGTTAAAGTACAAATAAGAAAAATTTTGTCACGTAAAACCGCTCAGGCAGTAACTCCAACGAACCAGAGCACGCCACGTAGCAAGACATCCTAATGTCGGTGTCACGCAGGATGCCACGTGGGCGATCTACGTGCCTCACGATCGAACGACCTAGGATTGATCCCGCGCGCGTGGACAGCCTGGATTTATTCTCCATTTAAATGCGATCGGACGGTCGAGATCAAATCAAGATGAACAGTCCAAATTCATTTCTTCTTTAAACACGATCGGACGGTCGAGATCATACGTGATGAACGGTTCAGATTTGTTTCCTCCTTAGGTGCAATCGAATGGTCAAGATCAAACGTGATAAACAGTCCAAATTAATGCGAGATGAGTATAAATATTTTGCATCATACTGAACCCAAACCCTAGCCATCAACCTCCTATTAGAGAAGACACCGAAGAATGGAGTCAACCGCTGACCACTGCCGCATTTGAGCCACCTCTGACCGCCAAAAAAAGTAAAAAATTCTCTTACCCGCTTGGAATTCGATTTCAAGCACTCTTGTGGCCATATCAGAGTAAAACAAATGGTAGATGAGCCAAAAACTGCGGGCAAAGCCCGACGGTGCTGCCGCAGGCAAAACCCGCTACCTCTTCCGATGAGCCTCTTCCCATTTTCCATTTCATGCGATTATTTACACCATTGTATTCACCATTATATTTTCTATAGGTTGACCGAAAAAAAATTCCTAACCGCGAAGGTGAGCTGGCGGAGCTGCCGCACTAAAAAAACTCCACCATCAATATGTTTCTGTTTTTCGATTTTTTTCGGCCAATCGAGTCCCTCTAACATCAGGGATATATATAAAGCCATCCAAAACTGGCCAAAATCGGCCGAAAATAGCCCGGCCACAGGCGATGGTGTCGTTGCTAGAGTACAGCTATGCCGCCGTGGCAAAATCCTGAAATTGATCGGAAAGAATTTTTTACACCAATTTTAGATTTCTATTATATTTTTAAATATGTGACAAGTGTTTTAAATTCCATAGGGATAATTCAAGAAACTTAGGAACTGCCAATAGGCGCAGTAGAAGGTTCAGTGTTTTAGACACCGATTCATGTAAGGATCCCTCATCTTTTTCTCCGTTACAGAAAATTGAAGCTTAATAATTAATAATTATGTGTTTTAATGAAAAATTTGATAACCCTAAAAATAATTATAGGTCACTAGTGAAGACGGAATCGATTAGTTTACAGTCATTTCAGTTTTCTGTTTATTTTCCTGTATTGTTTATATTTGTTTACTATTATACTTTGTGTAACTCAATTGATGGTTCTTAGAGTCTTTTTGATTATTTTATTATTTATTTTTTGTAACAACCCCGGAAATCTAAAAGAAAATATATAATAATTTAAATGCATAAGCAAAATAAAAGGTTAAGGTTTACATCCCTTACACAATAACTTAAAAGTACTAAACAAACATCACGGAATGAATTCTCTGAAAGAAACACGAGAAATGAGAAAAGCAAAAGAAAATATAAAGTATCTAGCATCTACTCGTAATCTTCTTGTGGATTGGGGTCGGGAACCAGGTCTTCTTGATCTGAAATAATTAAATAAGGGGTGAGCTACACTAACCCAGTAAAGACATCACACTATATCACCAGCACAAAAGCAAATGTTGGTAGAAAATCAAAAACAACTAATTGAGATTAGATTTAAACTAATACATTTATTAAAATAAAACCATTTACATACCATTGGAAAATTTATGAAAATAAATTATAAAAGCAATAATATCATACAGGTCATAACTTCGTGGACGATCAGCAACATAGAACATATCATAAATTCACATTTATTAATAATAAACTAAATCGTAACTGTTTCTCGTTTCACTAGCCTACTAGTATCCATAGGGGTGTCCTCGCTACATGTAAACCATTTTCCTTAACAATCTTAATTACATAACCGACCCTATACCCCGTCCGGTATGAGCGCTAAGACATTAAACCTCAATACTCCGTCCGGTATGAGGATGAAGTGGGTCGTTCCCATATCCCGTCCGATATGAAACAACGTTCACGGTAGTGTTCCTTATGAACCCGGTCCGTCCACCATCTCCTAAGATATCTAGTGAGGCTACTATCTTATCTATTTATTAGATCACTCCCATTTTCTATTTTTCCTTAGTCTCCGTTACCAAATCAAACATAATTACATACACAAATAAACATACATCCGGTAATACAATCATATCTTAGATCCCAAAATCAAAAAATAGTCAAGTAAGACAATAATACATGCATTTAAATTACAAAATAGATAAACAAGAAACCATCATGCTTTTAAATTGCAAGATCAATCAATAGAGAATAATATCCGGTTCAGGCTCCATTAACAATCCGTAATTAATTATGTACAAAATACAATATTATCATTTATTCAAACTTCAATTCTATGATAGGAAATAGGGTGAGGGGTCTTTATTTAATTTGATGCCGAAAAACTAAATGATTTACTGCGCCTATGGGCGGTCCCTTGGTTCCCTGAATTTTTCTTCGGGAACTAAAACGCGCTTACGGTACCTACAAATGTCTCAAATAACCCAAATATCAATCCCAGGGCCTACTCGGCCAATTTTAAAAATCCGGCACGGCGGCTCCGCCATGCTCCGGCGACGGTGCCGCTGCTTGCGGCGGTGATCTACCTTGGGTTGGCTGTTTTCAGCCGTTTTTGACCGAATTTAGCCAAATTTGCATCAGTTCTTGCGATAAAACACACTTAGGGCCCTCGGTTGGCCGAAAAAATATAGAAAATCGAAACTCACCAGTGGCGGGGCTTTCCGGTGCGACGGCTCCTCTGGCTCACGTTACGGTTGGATGTTTTGTTCCGTTCAACCTGTAGAGAAGGAAACATTGATCACAATAGTAGAAAAATCACATCGAATAGGAATCGGGAAGACCCTCATCGGAGGCATTTTTTAAAGTACCCCGTGGCGACGCCGCATGGCTTTACCAGTATTTTTCGGCCAATCGATCGGTCTTTTTGCTCCAATATGGTCATGAGTGTGTTTAAAATTAAATTCTGAGCAAATGGTAAAATTTTTACTTCGTTTGGCGGTCGAAAATTGCTCCAATTCGGCGGCGGGTGGCGGTGGTCAGTTCCCCGACGGTTGGGTTGTCTTCTCCAGGGAGGGGTTCTGCTGGCTAGAGTTAAAGTTTGGGTGTGGATGGGGTTATTTATACCCATCCGCTTTTGATCTGGGACGTCCATCGTTTTTGATCTGCACCGTCTGATCGCAATTAAATAGGGAGTGAATCTAGG